TAGGATAAAATGGCTAATGGATGAGACAAGGGTTCCTCATATATTGTGCACAGTTAAAAATCTTCAGGAATGGTTAACCAGATTCCCTAATCGAGGCCCCTATGTTTTCTCGTCCCGGGATGGTAAGAAATTGTCTCCTAGTCAAATGACAAAATATTTATCCCAGTTAGTGAATCAAGCAGACCCTGGCAAGAAATTTTTGGCACATGACACCAAGAAATATGCAGGGTCTGTCGCCTTTCTGCGGCATGTGAGCCTCAGTCAGATCAGAGAAGTGGGCTTTTGGAAATCTTCAAAAACTTTTCAAAACAGCTATCTTCATCTGTCTCTGAAAGATGCTTCACATGTGGTGGTGCTGGGGCCCCCTCCCCCACCTAGTTAATCTCCACAACCAGGACCTTCTTCCTCATCAGAATAAAGTGAGTATCCTCATTGACATATATAAATTAACATTTTACCTTCCGGTAAATGTTCCTAATATTGGAAAATATTCCAAACGGTTTATAATCATAATCTGGACCTAAGCTAGCGGAGCCTTGTATGCAACGTCACCTCCCTCTCCACCTCCTGCTTGGGTATTCAAAGCTAGGCGGCGCACTCGGGATTGAACAAAAATCCGCTTTTCTCTAAAAACCAGTATTTGTGATATAGTCAAGAATGCGACGCCGATAACCCACCCATCTCCACCCCTCGAGAGTTGACTTTTGTTCACTGCTCGCTCTAAGGCAAGAGATGACGGTGGCAGTGAGTGTTATAGAGGGTGCAGAAGGGGGTTTTGAGAATTGCAATTAAATGCCAGGTAGCGACGTGTCCTCCTAATATTACTTATAAAGTAATTATTAGATGTTTTAATTGCCTGTATGTTGGCCTGGCGAGTTATTGCTAGGCATTAACATACCTAGGTATAAAGCTAGGCGTCTCATTCTGGACTACAGTCAACCCTCACTTTACGCGGTTAATACAACCCACAGGGTAGCGCGGAAAGTGAGAAACGCGTAACGTGAACAACATATCATATGGGATTAATTGAAATAGAGACCGGGCCGACCCCCAAACTCCACTTTTTGACGACACACAACTATGTTGTAGTAAAAATTTTATCTTAACTTTATGATGGTATGCACACACAATTAATATAGAAGAGGTTAGGTTAGGAAAAATAAAGGTTAAGTTAGGAAAAATAAAGGTTAGGTTAGGAAAACTAAAAGTTAGGTTTAACACTTACGTTAGTAGAAGAGATGGGTCGGCATACGGGAATGGAGGCTGGTTCCGAGGCAGAGTGCAGGCTACTGGCCCTCAGGTGAGTCACCATCACTGTCATCCACACTTGTCAGGGCCTCCCTGACAAATCCCTCAAAGTCATCTTCACTGTCTCTACCTCTGTCACTATCACTGGCTTGGGCTGGCTGTGGTGGGTTGCGGGCGAAGAACTCTGTTATGCTTTGCGGTGTTCTTCTTGGGATGACGCACCACCTGCCTCTTCAATGACGTCATCATCATCTACCATCTCGTCAGTAGTCACATCAGGATCCCTTATCACCTCCTGGATGTCGTCGTTGGTGGTCTCAGAGAAGCCTGCAGCTGTAACACTCTGCGCAGCTTCTCTGGCAAGGTCCACTGCTACTCCAACAGTCTGAACCTCACCAGTCACAGATTTACTCTGCCTAACGGCCGGAATGCCTTGCAACACATGTCTCTATGCGTGACGAACAGTTGCTACAGACAGCTGATCCCATGCCTCCACCAAGAAGTCCACAGCTTTCTTGATGTTGAATATTCTCCAGAATTGTTTGAAAAGTACTTGTTGCTCTGCCAACTGTTGATCCTCGTCGTCTTCGCTCTTGCTATCGGTGGTGGTGTCACTCAGGTTACACAACTCTTCCTTGGTGTTGGTGTAGTCGTTCAGGAGCTTGATTTTTTTAGTTGAGAATGCAGCTTTTACATTACAGATTAACTCTTGGTCCATGGGCTGTAATATAGACGTAGTGTTGGGAGGAAGGAAGACCACTTTTACATTGGGATGACGATCTAGCAGTAGGGGTGAGTGTCCTGGTGCGTTGTCCAGCAGCAACAAAATCTTGAATGACACATTCTGTTGCTCACAGAATTTCTTTACATCGGGAACGAAACAGTCATCAAACCAGGAAAGGGACAGTGTAGAGAACATCCACGCCTTACGTGCGGTCAGCCAGTGGACATTTAGCTTGGTCATGTCCATGCTCTTGTAGGCGTGCGGCTTGTGTGCTGTGTGGATCACCGATAACTTGAGCTTACAGGTACCGGAGGCATTGGTGGTAAACAGGACGGTGTTGCGCTCCTTCTGCAACTTCCGGCCCCGAATCTTGCTGGCATTCTTCACAACGAAGGTCTTGGAAGGTAGCTTTTTCCAAAAAAGACCAGATTCGTCCATGTTAAACACCTGGTCGTCGGTGTACTGTCCTTCCTCCATAATCTCACGTAAAAACGGAGGAAATTCCCTAGCCGCAACACGGTCAGCACTAGCTTCTTCACCACCAATGTTGATATTGGTGATCTTGTTCCTCATCTTAAACCTCTGTAACCACCCAGAGGAAGCATTAAAGGGTTTGGGCTCTGTAATTCCCATCTTTCGTGACACTGCAGCATACAGTTCACATGTGTACTCCTTAACAGAGCGCGTGTCCACCACCATGTTCCGTCGCGCCTGACGCACTAAGTAGCTCACAAGTAATTTTTCCGTCTTGAGAAGCACCTGGTTGTGGAAATACTTGATCATAGAAGCACCTGTAGACTTTGTGATCTTCATGTGCTCCTTTATCTTGGCTGCATCCTTCTTTATTGTCCGGATCGTAGATTCGTTCACACCATGCTGGCATGCCAAATCAACCTGTCTTGTTCCTTTCTCTAACTCTTGGATGATCTTGTGCTTCACCTCGTAGCTTAAGGAACGTCGTGTCTTCTTTGGCTTAGGGCGGCTGGGTCCAGGCAAGGAAAGGTTTCTCTCTCGGGGCGGTGGTCCGGCGGAAGCCATTTTACAGAACAATGGATGCACGATTACACGGTGTGGCCTAGAGGGATGAAACTGCCGCGGCTAGGTCAAGCGTCGTCTTTCCTCCCTCCCTCCCTCCCCCCCCCCGGGTGGACACGTCATATTACTTTAAACCAATTACAGCTAGCAGCGGAGGGAGGTAGGGATGCATGGCCAATCACAGTCCGATACGTCATATGACGTCAGTGATAACGCAACAGAGACATGCACTGCGCAACCTTACTGCGCGGCTTGCCCAGGCGGAGGCGGGAGGGGCGAATCTAAAAATAGCGTCGAGCCGGACACTCTCCGCGTAAAGGGGTACATGCACCGCGGAATATGAGCCTCCCGGGTTTCGGCAGGGTACCGCACGAACGTGGAAACGCGGAATGTGGGACCGCGTAAAGTGAGGGTTGACTGTATATCACAAAACCTGGTTTTTAGAAAAAAGGCTTTTTTCTAAAAAACAGTTTTTGTTATATACTGTACAGTACTGTAGTCCACAATGTGACGTCAACATCCCACTCATCTCCACCTCTCGAGAGTTGACATTTGTTTACTGCTTGCTCTATGGCAAGAGATGACGGTAGCAATGCGTGTGATGGAGGGTGTGGGAGGGGGTTTTGAGAATTGCAATTCAATGCCAGGTAGCGAATTGTCCTCCTAATATTACGTACTTAAGTAATTATTAGATGTTTTAATTTCTTGTATGTTGGCCTGGCGAGTTAATGCTAGGCATTAACATACCTAGGTATAAAGCTAGACGTCGCATTCTGGACTATATCACAAATTTTTTTTTTTTTTCTCGAAAAAAAAACGCCTTTTTTTCAGCAAAGAAAAAATAGCAAACACTCTGTACCTCAAGCTGTACATTATAGGATGTTAGGTATGTCTCTCAGGGGTCACTTCCCTTAGCCTCTTATTTCTTACTTCACCAGCCCTTGACAACCATGGTGTTGAAAACCACAGGACAATTCTATAATATAACCCCACAGATGGCAAGGGATTAAAGTATGCAGTACTGTACAGTCAAAGCTCAAAAATCTGAAATTCAAGAATCCATAATGCTCAGAAATCTGCATAATTTCATATTTAAAGTGGATGCCAAGATTTGAGTGTCATTTTGGCAGTTTAACTGTTCTAAATTGTGTGCTCTGCCACACATGCAGTCTTTGTCTTGTGGTTTATTGCATCATATTGTTGGTTATGATTGTGACTACAAACTTTTTAAAATCAGAAATTCTACCTTAACAATGACCAAGAAAAGACCAAGTGATAGTGATGCTTACATTAGGGCGAAGAGGAAGCATGTAACTCTTAATATCATTCAAAAGGCTGAAATACTAGACATAGGTGTTTCTGCATTACAAATTTGTTGGTCAGCAAATATAAACCATTGCATGATGCAAGGTCAAGAGTGCTTGCCACTGTGGTGCATGTGTGGTGTAAGGAATGGAGAAGAGACCGGGTCCTTTTGTGTGAAAAAGCCAGACAGTTACAACAGAATTTGAAAATTAATCCATAATGAGGACACAGTGGCAGCACTCACATAATCATGACCTCTTACCTTGTAATAAAACATTTATTATCAATGTTATTTTATTTCATTTATCTATCTTAGTGTTATCTTTATAATTATTACATACAAAGCCATTTAAAATATATTTTTTTTATGTAAAACCACAATCTTGCCTCCATACCACTCAAAAATACATAATTTTCAGAATCCACACACTGCTTGGTCCCAAGGTGTTTGAATTTCTGGACAGAAAATAATTGTTATAATATGGGTGACTTAAATTTACTAGTTAAGTGATCAGTAAACATTAGAGCATAAATAATTTTGCATGAATGATTTACCACTTAATTTTTTTATTATTAATTGGTGGTTTAGAATAATGTAATATGTTATTGATGTTGAAAGTGTTCAGTAAAGATAACATTTTGTTATACAGTATTACAAATTTATTTTTTCAAATACTCTCCATCACAGCACATCTCGCTCCATGAGCATGCGCAGCTGGTCAGCATGTGACAGCCTGGGGTCAACTGACACTGTTGCAGTTAGTGACTCGACAAATGTGACAGTTGATACTCAGAGCTCTGGAGGACCCAGTAGTGGCACCTCACAAGCTCCCTCTTGTCGTGCCTTAGCTGGCTCACTGGCATCGTTTGACACATCTTCTCTTGTTAATAATGAAGGTATGATCTAGAGTCCAATAAGTGGAGGCTCCTAGTCTTATGAATTGGAAAAAAAAAATGTTTACATTGACTCTGAACAGTTGTAGAGTTATAATTCTTAAGATGAAAAGGTTTAGCTTATGTGAGGGCCAATAATACGTCAAATGGGCAACTCAGTGCCCACCTTAGGAAGTGATACCTTTCAAAACCTGCCTGACTATGAAGGTGAACTCTCATCTCATTGGTAGGAACACCAGAATTGGTTTAGACACAATACATATAAAGCATTGGCTGTTAAAATATCACAAGAGTATTGTTAACATATGACTTGTCTCTTTCCTTCTGCCATAGAGTATATATATTTTTTTTTAGTTCTTGAGATTTGGGTTCTTCAACTTTTTTTATATAGTACAGTACAGTATGCATTTTTTCTATCTTTGGAATAAGAATATTTTGTGGAGGCTGATGATTTATAAATAAAATGCAAATAAAATATCTTAAATATTTGGGAGATTATGGATTGGCTGCATTAGATTTTTTCCTTCTCGGGTAAGAAAAATTCTCAGTCATACGTTTTTTAAAATATGATTAACATACTTCTGGAATCAGAGATGAAAACCCTGAATGTTTTTATTTCTACTGCTTAGGCAGTGTTTGGGTGTGAGGTCATTTGTTGAGTTGACCTGTGTATTTTTATGCTGAATGAAACAAGTGCTTTCTTATGTTGCATGCATGCATACTTATTAAGGTCACATTCATTACAAGTACAGTACTGTACTGCACAGTATTGGTAATAGAGTGTCAGTGTTTTTCAGCAGATGACCATACTTATTATCCCATTCACATATACTGAACTTATGATAAGTTTTTCTGCTGGAACTTGGCATGTACATTATGCTCCCTTTATGCATGAAGTCCTTCAGGCTTATTTTTTTTTAGCATGGGTGTTCACACCAAAATATAGTTATTTTCTCTTCAGTTTGACAGTACAGTACTGTATTGGCTTCAGAATCATTAGGTTGTCACATAAGCTAAAGAAAAATAGAAATATAATTACAGTGCAATATGTTCTCCTATAACATGTTAGTTGCATTCTTGAAAAACACCACATTATAGAAAATTATATTGTCATAACAATTGTTTCAATGGGAATTAAGGAGTAGTAGGTTCGAGAGCACCAACTTAACTGACAACTGACCAATATGGGACACCACTTTCACACTCTTATTAGGTTTTATGTGTTCTTTTATGATAACTGTGTTTTAGTTTAATACGTAATATCATTCATTAATAGAATAAAAACATGACAAGTGGGAAGAATGCCTGTGACAGTGAGTTAGTGTAGTTGCTACGCAACTAGAAAATGGAGCTGTGAAAGAGGGTGCAAAACAAATACACTGTATGTTGAAATAATACGGGAGTGTGACCCTCTTAGCAGTTTTTAATGATATAACCTTTTAAAAAAAATTTTTAACCATAGCAAATGTAAATGAACTATAAAAAAATGTTTTAACACTCACCACAAGAAGAGAAGACGTTTATTTGAGATGAGTGGTGGAGGAGCACATGAGGGCTCATCCCACTTTATCACATCTAATTTGTATTCTAAAGTTATAGCTTTTCTTTTTTTACTTCACTTCCACTGCCACCACTACCAGAATACTTTACACCCTTGCCACATATTGTAATTAAAAGCAGTTAAGTTGATAATACTGAACTGTACTTTTACTAAGATAAAGCACAGTCCTCGATAACAAATGTCCAATAAGTGTGGAAGATAAACAATGACTACGGGGTGGCGCAACGCTTTTTGTGATGTTAAACCAAGGCGACACTGTAACAGCTGACTGTATTCCTACTTTGAGTGACATAATTCCATTTACTCAATCGTGTTATATCCAAATCGCATCTGCCATGTCCATGTTATAGAAAATGTGTTCCCTAATACATTCCTTGTGTTATGTTGGGTCTTGAAGAAAACAGCAGGATTTTGTATGGTTTAATGAATCTAGAGAAAATGTAAGCAAAAAGTCATTGAGGCCTCAACTGCCCTTGACAGCCACTGGTGCCTGACCCCACCACCCAATATGTAGTACAGCTCGACATCCTCTCTCTAGTCCGGCAACCTCGGGACCTGACCATGGAAATTCACCCTTTTCCTGGATAGATAGTGACTTGTGCTTATGCTTGGAAGCACTAGCACCACTTTCTCTGCATCATGGTCTCTTTGAAGACATATTGAAGGGTTAAATGTCGTATAGTAGCTTCTCAAATTTCGAGAGTTTTTAATTCTTAACGTATTTTATTGGAACACAAAAATAAATAAAACAAAAAAAATTTTGACGGCAAAAACTTGAATTTCGAGGGGTTCGAACGGCCCGCCAACGTGCAGACGACGTGCATAATCGTGTAAACAGCGTCATTTCTCTTATGTACAAAAGATTCATTATTGTTTATTACTGAATGTCTTTTTTATTGAATTAATGTTTATGTGTGCAAAATGAGCAATACAATTCATTAATAATACGTAGAATATTAAAACACACGAGGAAATGACACAGCATTGTTTTCGTTGATTACAAAACCAGTGACTGACTGGTTCTACATATAAAACTGAAGAAAATAAGACCCTGATTTTAGCTGTAGTAAAATTAATGTAAAAAAATTAATATGGTTGTTTGAAGTACCTGTAATGTTATTTAATGTTAATAAATGGAACAATATAAGTAGCTAACCATTTATGGTAAAAAAAAAAGTGAGACAGCGCATATGTAAGTGCGCACATGTGAAAACATATCATCATTACTCTACATAAGAATATGAAAGCAACACTTATTTACTGCTCATATATATTGAAAGGTTAAATGTTGTACTCTGTATAGACAAGCAGAGAGAGAGAGAGAGAGAGCGAGAGCAGCCGAACTGCCGGATGTAAACAAACCTTAATTTCCCGCAGCTTTGTTTGTTTTTGTTTTTTTTAAGGGGATTAGCCCACCCGGGCATAGGTAACTGACCCACATTGGGGCCTGCGGGGCAATAATTTAATACTCCTGTAATAATAATAACAATTCAGATAAGTAAAAAAAAAAAAAACTGCCTATCTACCTATTGGACAAACTAAAATCGTTCCGGACCACGGAAGTTTCCGGACCACAGGAGTTTCCGGACCACAGGAATTTCCGGACCACAGAATGCCATACTAGAGAGGTACAACCTGTATAACCAAATTGTGCTATGAAAACACGTATTACACTTATCCCTCCCGTATTTGTGGACTCCATATTTGCGAAGTCAATTTTTCACAAAATATTATTAGTGACCCTTTATTCAAGATTCACGATCGAAAATCAGCGATGCTCGAGGCTGTTAAAATTTTTCTGACAGACCATTGGCAGATGCACATCTTCCACACACACTCCGAGGTTAGTCAGTTCTCTCATGTGTGCTGCACCGTCCTCCCCTTCACACCCCATAGGGAGAGTACTGTAGGACCCCAATATTTTGGGTATTGCACCACAGAGTATTTAGGGCACCAGAATTAATATTCAGCACCCTCTGGTAAAATTTGATTCCCGTAATGACACGGTAACACCTAACAACCTCCACCATTCAAGTCGGGCTACTATATGCAAAAAGTCTCCACTTTTAATGTAAATCCAGTGTCGTATACTTTATTTTATTTACAGGGCAATCCATTTTATCCAAGTTTCAACTACAGTTGTACCCCACTTAACGCGGTCAATTGAACCCAGAGGGTCCCGCGTTAAGTGAAAACCGCGTTAAGTGAATAACAGAACATATGGGATTAATTCCAATAGAACCCAGCCCGACCCCCAAACTCCACTTTTTGACGACAAATAACTATGTTGTAGTAAAAATTCTATCTTAACTTTATGGTGGCATGAAAAACAAGTAATATAGAAGAGGTTAGGTTAGGAAAGATAAAGGTTAACATAGGAAAAATAAAGAATAGGTTAAAAAACGAAAATTTTTGAGGAACACTCACGGTAGTAGAAGAGATGGGTCGGCATACGGGGATGGAGGCTGGTTCCGAGGCAGAGGGCAGATTACTGCCCCTCAGGTGAATCACCATTACTAGGTGAATCACCATTACTAGGTGAATCAATATCACTGTCACTTACAGTTGTTATGGCTTCCCTGACAAATCCCTCAAAATCAACTTCACTATCACTATCACTGGCTTGGGCTGGCTGTGGTGGGTTGCGGGCGAAGAACTCGGTTATGCTTTGCTGACGGCTGGCTTTGATGTTGTCATGATACACCGTGATGTACGGCTCCATAGCCTGCACCAGTCGGGTATGGAAGACGTCATGGCGTTCATCGTCAGTGTCGCGGGAAACGATGGACTTAATTTTTTCTGTTAACTCTATGACACACTTAATATCACTATGACTTAAACTAGGTTCTTCGGAGAATGACGCACCTTCTTCCTCCTCTTCACTGGCGGGTTCTTCTTCCAACATCTCGTCGGCAGTCACTTCAGGATCTCTGATCACCTCCATGATGTCTTCGTTGGTGGTCTCGGAGAAGCCTTCAGCTGTAATACTGAGCGCAGCTTCTCTGGCAAGGTCCACTGCTACTGCAACAGTCTGAACCTGACCAGTCACAGGTTCACTCCTCCTCTCACCTGGTATGCCATGCAACACATGTCTCCATGCGTGACGAATCGTAGCAATAGACAGCAGATCCCATGCCTCCACCAAGAAGTCTACAGCTTGTTTGACGTTAAACTTCTTCCAAAATTGTTTGACGAGAAGTTCTTGAGTCGCCGCCTCTTGTTCCTTGTCCTCGTCGCTTTTACTCTCGCTGTCGGTGTCACCCAGCTTACGCAACTCATCCTTGGTGTTGGTAGAGTCGTTCAGGAGCTTGAATTTCTTTGCCGAGTATGCAGCTTTAACATTGCAGATTAACTCCTGGTCCATGGGCTGGATTAATGACGTAGTGTTGGGAGGAAGGAAGACCACTTTTACGTTGGGGTGACGATCCATAAGTAGGGGCGAGTGTCCAGGTGCGTTGTCAAGGAGCAACAAAATATTGAAAGGAACATTCTGTTGCTCGCAGAATTTCTGCACGTCAGGAACAAAACAGTTGTCAAACCAGAAGAGGGACAGAGAAGAGGACATCCACGCCTTACGTGCGGTTAGCCAGTGGACATTAAGCTTGTTCATGTCCATATTCTTGTAGGCGTGCGGCTTGCGGGCTTTGTGAATCACCGATAACTTTGGTTTACAGGTACCGGAGGCATTGGTGGTAAACAGGACGGTGATGCGTTCCTTCTGCATCTTCCGGCCCCTTACCTTGCTCGCAGACTGGACAACGAAGGTCTTGGAAGGTAACTTTTTCCAGAAAAGACCAGATTCGTCCATGTTAAACACCTGGTCGTCACTGTACTGTCCTTCCTCCATAATCTCACGTAAAAACGGAGGAAAATCTCTAGCCGCCGCACGGTCAGCACTCGCTTCCTCACCAACAATGCTGATGTTGGTGACCTTGTTCCTCCTCTTAAACCTATGCAGCCAACCATGGGAAGCATTGAAGGGTTTGGGCTCTGCAATTCCCAGTTTACGTGTCACTGCTGCGTATAGCTCACTTGCGTATTCCTGCACTGAGCGCGTGTCCACCGCCATGTTGCGTCGCGCCTGACGCACCAAATAACTCACCAGCAAAGTTTCCACTTTTGCCAGCACCCTGTTCTGGCAATACCTGATAGATGAAGCACCTGCAGACCTTGTGATCTTCATGTGCTCCTTTATCTTGGCTGCATCCTTCTTTATTGTACGAATCGTAGATTCGTTGACGCCATGCTGGCGCGCGAGATCAACTTGGCGTCTTCCTTTCTCCAAATCTTGAACAATTTGGTACTTCAGCTCGTAGCTTAATGAACGTCGTGTCTTCTTTGGTTTAGTGCCACTGGGTCCAGGTAAGGAAAGGTTTCTCTCTGGGGGTGGTGGTCCGGCGGAAGCCATTTTACGGAACAATGGATGCGCGTTAACCCGGCGTGGCCTTGAGGGATGAAACTGCCGCGGCTAGGTCAAGCGTCGTCTCTCCTCCCTCCCTCCCTCCCCGGGGTAGTCACGTCATAATACTTTAAGCCAATTACAGCTAGCAGCAGAGGGGGGTAGGGCTGCATGGCCAATCACAGTCCGAGACGTCATATGACGTCAGTGATAACGCAACAAAGACACACACTGCGCAACCTTACCGCGCCGCTTACCCAAGCGGAGGGAGGAGGAGGGAGAGGCAGGCAGGCAGGCGGGCGGGTGGGTGGCGCGTGGCGCGTGGTCAAAATCTAAAAATAGCATCCGAGCCGGACACTCACCGCGTAGCTGTGGAAAAACCCGCGTTAAGTGAAAGTTCAGCTTTGGCAAGGCACCGCGTATATGCGAAAACGCGTTAAGTGAAAGCGCGTTAAGCGGGGTAAAACTGTATCTGAATCTTCCAGGTATCTCAACTTTATCCCCTTTGGTCCTGTTCAGTAAAAATTCTAATTTAGTCCAACAAGCCAAATGCAACTGAAGTCATTTACAGGGTATTTGTGTGTCTGCCACCAGTAGTGCTTTAACAACTTTGTTAACAAAATTACTATGATAAACAATAAAAATAATGTTTGGCATATCATAAAATACAATAGCACATATTTTATGTAAAAAAATACCTCCTTCTACACTCAAACCATCATCTAAGTGATGCCACAGTTCAGCCAGGCAGTCAATCACCTGACTGAGACGTGTGTGAGCGTGCGTGCGTGCGTGTGTGCGTGTGTGTGTCTCGTTGGTTATGACGGACAGCTGTAAGCAAGTAAGTGTGTATGTGTGTAGCTTTGCAACAGGTAGACATGCTTACAGAGCTCCAACAAGACTCCAACGGCAGTATAGGCAGAAGAGGTGACCACCATGGGAATCCAACGACTACACCAGTGGATGAAGGCAATGCATGATGGACAGGCTACTAAGATGAAACCCAACAAACTGGGCTATCTGCAGTCCATTACAACTCTCCCTCTCCCCAGTTGTTAAAACACTTGCACCACAGGATCAGGAAAAGGGAGAGCAAAGATGTGTGGTTGCAGCCTGCGCTCCTGCCTCACCACATAAATCAACTCACAAGCAGCCATCATCCAGCTCATCATACTTCTCATCATCACCAAAACCCCTATACTCCCGAAAGTCCTATGGCGACAGATT